TTGTGAGCGGTGAGGGTCGGTTGTTCGTCCCAAAAAAGCCAGTAAAGCCGGGGGGCTGAGATCCTGCGTTGCACCCCCCGCGCCCAAGGAGAGGATTAGGCTGTGAGCAAGGAGCCGTCTCTTGCCTGGGGATTAGGGTGAGTACCGGGCCCCAGCTACGGGGGAAGGAGGCAGGGAAGGCACCATGTTGCTAGATGGCGATGCAAGCCATCCCCGTGCTGAGAAAGAAGGGGGATACTTGAGCTATAGCCCCTGCCCGCATCCCCGCGAGCTCTGCCTGCAAACCTGGGAGACCCGGCGCTGCGTGGCTGCCTGCAAGGCTCTCCTCGCAGCCTGCCTGCCTTCCCGCAGCCCAGGCAGGAGGGCACGGCAGCTTACCGGCAGCACCGAGAGGAGCAGGTTCCCTTTTGCTACGGGATCTGAGCACCGCAAACGGCGCTTGTGGCTGTTGGGAAGGGGGACGTCCGTAGGGAGGGTTGAGCCAGTTTGAGGATCAACAGGACCTTGGCTCCTGGTGAATTCAGGAGGAATACAGGACACAAGGGGCTGATGTTTGTGTCCTCCTTCCCTGCCACCACACACACTCTCCTTAACTCCAGCTGTCTATGTTTGATGAGTGCTGGATGGACCCCATAAGCTGCCCACGCACCAGGACTTTAGACGGCTTGTGTTCCTCCCAGGGCTCAAAAGCAAAATGATGCCTGGATTTGAAATAATCCCCCCGCTGTGCAAACGGGAGATCCAGAGAGTGGCCTTGGCAATGAGAAACCAGCTCCTTCCCTCCCCTGCCCTGTGCCCTTCCTCCCTCCTCCTCACCCTCCTCGCAAGGGGCATTTTCTCACCAGGCGGCTCGGCAGCTCTGGCCAGAGGTCCCACTGCCCCGTGCTACTGCTGTAAATGGGTGTCTGGCCAAAAACCTGTATCGGAAGGAAAGGGGAGAGCTGAAGGAGATGGAGGGTGGCAGGGGAGCCCAGAGCCCAGCTGTTCTAGTTAGTCCTCACTACGGAGAAAGGCTTTCCTTTCAGACCTCTATCTCCAAACTGAGGTCCTCAGGTTTCCCTCATTTTCCAGCCTGAGTGTGGTGTATTCCAAATTTTTCTGGGGCCTCTAATACCACAGAAGATGAAAGTTCACCTGAAAAGAGCTCAGAAAGGGCTTTATGGTTTGGTACGGACTTACGGGAAGATCCAGAAATGTGTTGAAAAAGTCGACAAAAACGTCATCTCTCAGCAGAAGCCCCATGTCCGTGGAGGCTATGGTTGCTACAAGGGGGAGAAGAGAAAGTTACCTGGGCTTTGTGTTGCCAAGCGTGACATAAATGTGAACCAAAATACGGATTTTGAGAGGCTGGACCAGAACAGCTCTAGGGGATGTGCGGTATGGGCTCGTCCCGTGCACACACGGGAGGATTTGGACCTGGGACAGTCCAGGAAATTTGGGTCCCAGTGCACCCATGTGCTCTGGGTGGGTGGCACAGGGTATTTGGAAAGCACCAGGTTCAGCTGCACGCAGGAGCTGGAAAGTTCGAATGGCAGCTTCCTAAATAGCAAAGGTACATGGTTCGTGGAGGCTGGGCACAAACGCGGTGGCATCCGTGGGGCAGGAGAAAGGAGATGCTGTGGCTGGAGGGGACGAGCTGTGCTCCTCTACCTTCCTGCTATCATGGAGGGGAATCGTGCGCTGTGCTCCGGTGCTGCTGCTCCAGCCCCGCTGCCTTGGTGCCCTCTGAGACCTCTTGCTCAGGTTCTGGTAGCAAATTCCCCCAAATTAGCAAGCACCATCAGGCTGGGGGGCAGGTTGTGGCTCTGGGTAGAGTGACGGTCGCTGCAGACCCCCCACCCCCTCCACCCAGGACATCTAGGTAGTGTGCCAGTAGTGCCCAACACCTCCCACTATCCTGTGAAGTTTTATTCGTGTCTGAAAGATCTGGATGCAAGGGGGTGGGCTGGCATCAGCCTACTGATGGGTGGATGCCCTTGGAAACGTCCACTTGTGTGAAGGCACAGCTGTGTCACGGGGAGGACCCACGTTTCAGAAGCCTAATGTTGCTTTTTTCCCCGCTGTCCCCTTTGGGGTGTGCTTAAAGGGGCTGAAACCTCCAGCAAAGGTAACTCACCGGTGGCCGTCATGCTGCCGTGTCCCAGGGATGTGTTCTGGAGTGACGCACTGCTTGTGACACACTTGTCCTGGCGAGTCCTTGGGGGCCACAGGGCTCTCAGCACCTCCCTCTTTGCTGTCCTTCAGCGAAATGTCACTTTTCTAATCACCAGCCCTGCAGACACACACTTGGGCAGTCCTGAAATTAAACCCTTCCCCTCTCCCCACTTGAGCAAACTTCTTGCTTTCAAACCAGGTTCTTGGTAGCACCTCGGTACCGTGCATGGTTGCTGTCAGCGCGTCTGCGCAGGTGGTGATGGAAATTTCACAAGAGACTCTGCTACGTCTGTCCCGGACAGAGCAGATTCCTTATTAGCTGTCCTGCTTCATCAGATTTGGGACTGAGACCCAACCTTGGAGACCCTCCAGTGGGAAGAGGAGAAAGAAAGAAGGAAGCACAACTCTCTTGCAGTTGCAGTGACCTGTTTCCCTGGCAGGAGGAGGAGGAGGAATCTGCTCCCAAGGTGGGTTTTTGATCTCCCCAGTCTGTAATGCCGTGGTGTCGGACCTGGCAGGGCTGCTAGTGCCCTCCAGGTTTTGGGCAGCATCGTGCCTGGGGTCTCTGGGGTGCCTTGTAGCAGGGAAGGGGGTCTGCTTGTCTGTGGCTCTGTGCTGTCGGGGGGCATGGGAAGGGTTTTGTGGCCTGTCCTGCACCGGACATCTCTTCTTTGCTTGCCTAAGGGGGGGCTGCGGGGTAGACTCTGCCAACCTCGTGTTTCTAAGAAGCCCTGAGCTTTCTCGGTCTGGCCATTAACAAAACGCACTTGTGTTATGTTGTCACGTCCCCTTCTGTAGTCCTGTTACTGTCACCTGCATGGGCACGGGCAGGTTAAAACAGACATAAGGGTGTGCAGCCTCCCCGGAGGCACCTCTGTGCAGAGCGGGTGCGGGCAGCAGCGGGTGCAGGGAGCGGTGGGGCAGGATGGGTGCCCGCAACCCACAGGCTCCCCAGGAGCGGGGCCACCTCACGAGGTGGCGCTGTCAAATCAGGAATGCGAAGTTGTCCCCAGCAGCAACAGGGCTCTGCATCTCAGCAATGGGCTTGTGACTCCACAGCCGCAATTAGTACAGGGACGACTCCTAGTTAATCGTGGGGCTGATGCTGGGGACCCCAGGGTGACAGTTCTGGGCTGCTGGCACCGGCTTGCTCTGTCACCCCGAGCAAGTGAACTCATTTCTTTGTGCATCGCTGCACTGCCCTGTGCAAGGATAACTGTGGTGCTGTACCAGCCCAGGAGGGACATGACAGAGACTCGTGAAAGCGTGTTAGAGGTCATGTCTGAACTGCCTGTGCACACACGTATGCCCTGGGGAGGTCACGTCCTGTCACGCTGCAAGGCACTGGCTACACTGCATTAATTCAAATGCTTGAAACCGTTGGTTTTAACAGCGGTGGATGGCGTGCGCGTCCTCGCGGTGCACGTGGGATGCGCGTCCTTGCGGTGACAACGAAGCCACGAGCCGCAAAATATCTGCTTATTCTAGTGGTGCCAGGCAGAGCTGCGGGAAGGAGTAATGGAAGACCCTGGGGAGGGAGCAGCTCTGATCACAAATTCATAAGGATTTTTGCTGCTAAGCCCAAGAGACGAGAGGAGAGGGAGTAGGGCTGAGCTGGCGCGGTGGCTGTGTCACATATGAAAGACTCCAAAGTCCTCAGCGAAAGGTTTCAACCGTCAAAAAAACGTATTTTCCAGTTGGCAACTTTGCAGATGCCCAGTGAGCTCCTCAGAGGCTGGTGTAGCTCTGCTGGTGCCCGTCCCGCTCTGGGCTGACCTCAGCGGGACTGTGCCAGTTTCTGCCGGGAAAGGACCGAGGTTGTGAGCAGGAACGGGCTGCCACGGATACTGTGGGAATGCACGGGGCCATTTCCATGGATTCTCTCCCCAAGAGGAGACCCCAAGAGGTCTGGCAGGATGGAGCCCTGCTCAGCCCAGCTGCAGCTTCCCGGGGTTTGCTCGGTGCGTGCACGGGCACATCTGCCCTGTTTGTCTTGCCGCAACAGCTCCTTGCAAAAGGAGCTCAGGCGAGCTGTGTGGCTATTAAGGAAAAAAAAACCAAAAGGCTTAAAAAAAAAAAAAGAGGCTTATGAGCATAGCCCAGATTTAGAAGCGGGCTCGGAGAGCAGCGCAGAGCGGCCGGACTCTTTGTACAAAGATAAGGGCAGGGTTGCAACACCAAACACGTCAGAAGGGCTTCATTCCCTCTCTGTCCAAGCCCGAATTACCCACGTCCTCCATCCCCCCGTGCGGGAAGCAGCCCACCCCCGGGCAGACCTGAGGCCACCTCCGCCGGCGGCAGAGCCTCGCGCTCCCGGGGTGGCAGAGGGCACGGGGCTGGGTTTCTTATCCTTGCCCAACATAAACTGGCACGGCTCGCCGCGGCAGCAAAGTCCAAGGCTGCCCGACCGTGGGGTCAGCCTTGCTGCCTGCGGTCGCTGGCCGCTTACAGTCTCCCCAGGCAGCCCAACCTGCCCGTTTCGGTGTCGCGGGGAGGGTGGGGGTTGTTCCCACCAACCCATGGCAGCCCCAAACGCTTTTGCATTGCTTTTGGTCTCAGCTGATGGTCTACAGCCCCTGCAAGATGGGAAACTCCAGCACGAGGGAGCGGTTGCAAGCACCTTGCTGCACAAACCTGCTCTTCCTCTAGCACAAGTATTGTATGCCCAGAGTCAGCTTCTGGGGCCAGACTGGGTTTTTTTCCGCCCCCCCCATCCAGCCCCAGCCTGTTCTCATATAAATAGTTTAGGACACCTCAAAGACTGTCAGCAATGGGTTTGATCCTTTTGGGCCCATGGCACCTTAAAACTGGAATTGTCTGAGGTCTCAGGTGTGGCAGTTCAGCTTTAAATATTTATTCCTTTCTTGAATATATTAGGATTATTTTTTTTTTAATGTGATTTCCATGCTCAGTCTCCTGGGTGCGTAAGACTTGTTTGCTCAGCGAGGACATCTCTGGTATTTCCTTACATTAATTAGTAGTATTTTTGAGCCTGTTGCCATCTGTCTGTAGTCTCCTTGCTCAGGATTTACGGTGAAGGCTGGGCTCTGACCCGTTACACCTGACAGCCCCTGCAGCAAGCTCTGCCTTTGCTTTTGCCTCTTCTCCAGTTCAACCGAAATCGCTCGTGTAACCTTATACGTGTGGCCGGTCTGTTGACTTCACCAGTCCAGGTTAAGCATGTGCTGCGGCAGGACGGGGACCTAATTCAGCCATAAGGAAGGGGCACGGACAACAGCACTTTGCAGTTACCTGTTATAATTTACAACATTGGGCCTGGATCCTACCATTGAATCCACTTGGGCAGCGCTTTGAGGATTTCTGCACTCTCACTTACGGAGCTGTGAAGGGTATGAGGCTGAAATTAATCTGCCAGCCGCGGCTAACACGGCCCTGACCTAGCTGGGAGTGCATTTAGCAGCATGAGCAGTGCTAATAAAAAAAGACAAAAACCCCCACCCCTGCCAATGCACGCTGTGACCAATTTCCAACTGCAGGGAAAGGCATGCGCTGAGCACTCCCTGGGATATTCTCCACCCTTGTACAGAGCAAACCGAGCCAAGCAATTTCTAGGTCTCAAATCCCGCCTGCCCCTGACGTTCTCATCTTCCAGCTTCCCCTGGTTGCTTTTGAAGGCGAGCACGTGCTTCTCGGCAGCGGCTCCTGCTCGCTGAAGACGCTCGGCCTCTGCGCAAGGTCCGCACGCGTGCAGGGCAGAGCCGGCGAGAGGTAGGTGCTGCCTGCCGGGGTTGCTGCCTGACCGGCCCGGAGCTGGCAGCGGCGATGCCCCTTCTGCAAAGAGCCCTCCCCGGGGGGAGCCGGGGAAGGGGGCTGCTCGGGGACGAAGCAATGCCACGGTTTCCTGCAAGGGGTGGCAAGGTGGGCATCGGGCACGGTGACGGGCACCAAGGTGGCTGAGAAAGGGGTGGAGAGGCAGGTGCAAGCAAGCGGCGGGGTTTGCACAAGGCTTTCCTGGCTGCCGCGGTCCAAGGCCCCTCTTCTCCTAAATGCGTCATGGGAGGGTATT